CCCATACAAAGCGAGCTGAACACGGTGTTGACGGGTTTTGGGTCGAGATCGAGATTTGTCTATTTAATGTTATTTTATTTTTTGGTTTCCTTTTCGTTGAGAATGACAATTGAAGCAAGACTCTATGCTGATGAGTTTTGTATAAAGAGCGAATTTTATCTGCTTTTAGAATTGACATGTTGAGCCGACTGTGAATTGTTAAAACTCGATTCGAACCAGTGAAGGCGAGTTGAACTTGGTGTGTAGAGTTTTTGGTGGGGAACGAGTTTTATCAGCTTTAGTGCTTTTTATTTATCTTTTTTCCTTTTGGTTGAGAACCCAAACCTATGGGTAGGGGTGTTCAAACGGTTTGGTTACCATGGTAACCGTTTTAACCAGTACTATTTAGATAATTTGGTTTGGTTAATTTGGATAATTGGTTTGGTTTGGTTTGGTTAAAGTTTTTAGCTTGTTTGGTTTAGGTGGTTTGGTTTGGTTTCAGACACTCCTAACCAGTCAAACCAAATTAACCAGTTAAGTAATTAGTCATATATCTAACCTATATTATATACACATACTTAATACTTTGCATAACCACTCAAGAGTTAACGTTCATCCCTTTTAGACTCATAAAATATAAAGCTCAATATTGCTCATATAGTGTATATGTGTATATGTAAAATGTAGACCACAACATATGGACGCCTAATTTAGATAAATTTCATACATTATGATGGATGAAAACTTGAAAAGAATGTCATTTCCAACCTATGATAATTGCTAAGAGACTAAGTCAATTTACACAAACACAACAATTCATTAACCCATGCCATTGTCATAAATTTTTGTTAGGTGAATACTTCTATACTAATCGTAAGATAATTTTCTTAGTTGCATGTATTTTTGTTAAGGGTCAACTATAACTACGTGTTGATTGTTATGTTTTATTCATTATATAAATTGCGAATTGTTGCATTAACCAGAAAATTTTCATCGTCAGTGATAATGTGATTTTATATTGGTTAATCTGGTTAACCAATTAACCAAACCGATTAAACTTTAATTTGGTTAATTTGGTTGTTGTATTAGTTTGGACGGTTTGGTTATGATATTGTATTCCATAGTTAATGAAATTTAGCCTTATTTGGTTTGGTTATAACCATGGTAACCATTTGAACACCCCTACCTATGGGTATCCAACCTAATTTAACTTGATAAAAATGACTTGAACCCGATGTTGCAAGCTTTCAGGAAGGAGTGAGTTTTATTCGCTTTGTAAATGACGGGTTGAGTTGGTTGTGAATTTGTTACATACTTCGTTCAACCAGATCAAAGAGAGTTGAACATGATGTTGCCAAGTTTTGGGTCATGAGCGAGTTTTATCCACTTTAGTGTTTGTTAATTTATCGGGCGGGTGTGAGTTTTATACGCTTTTTAAATTTTCTAGTAGGGTTGATTGTGAATTTGTTACAAACGCGGTTCAACCAGATCAAAGAGAATTGCACATGATGTTGCCGAGTTTTGGGTCATGAGCGAGTTTTATCCGCTCTAGTGTCTCTTTTTCTTTTCGGCTGACAATGAATTTGAAAAAAAGAAAAAATAATACAAACTAATCAATAGTGTGACGAGAAAGATTTAACATAGAAATCATTTCCTCGACGACCTTTCTCGCTTATTAAAGTTCATCACTGCGTCAACTACGTGAAGTTGTAGATGACAAACCCTTTACTTTTGGATCAAAATTCAAATTATTCATCTTTAAAATATCATGTTCTCGCTCACACGCTCATGACTCCAAATTGTCATTCTCAAGCAAAAGGAAAAAGATAAAAAAATACTAAAGCGGATAAAACTCGCTCATGACCCCAAATTCTCAACACTACGGTCAACTCGCTTTGATCGGGTCGACATAGTTTTGACAAATTCACAATTTACCCAACCTGTCAATTACAAAAGCGGATAAAACTCGCTCTCGATATGAAACGCGTCAACGATGGGTCAGAGTTCAATTGTCATTCTCAACGAAAAGGAAAATGAGAAAGAAAAAAAATTAAAGCGTACAAAACTCGCTTTCGATCTAAAACTGGTCAACAACGTGTTCAACTAGCTTTGAACAATTTTTTAACAAATTAACACTTGGTCCAACTTGCCAACTACAAAAACGGATAAAGCTCGTTCACAATACAACACTCGTCAAAACCTTAGATTCACGTTCAATTGTCTTCCCAACCAAAAGAAGAAGAAAAACGAAATTTACAAAAGCTGAAGTCGGTTTCAAGTCGCTTTGACTGGATCGAATTATGTTAGATACCCGTGGATTTGGGTTCAATTGTGATCATGCTCAATAAAAAAGGAAAAAAATACTAAAGAGGATGAAACACGGTCCTGATACAAAACTCGTGGTAGCAGCCTTGGGAAACAACTTAGGATTCCGCTGACAGTATTTCGAGATGAGTTGCAAAATGGTGGGCAAAGGCGATAATTTGTGCAATAAGCCATAGACGAAAACCTAGCGAACAATTACAAAACACTAAAGAGGATGAAACTCGGTCCAGATACAAAATTTGTGGTAGTCGGCTTGGGAAACGATGATGGGGAACAACTTAGGATTCCCCGATAGTATTTCGATAGGCTATAAAATGGTCGGAAAAGGCGACGATTTGTGTTCAAGTTAGGATACCTATGTGTTTGGGTTCAATCGTGATCATGTTCAACAAAAAGGAGAAAAAGAAAGAAAAAAACACTAAACATGATGAAACTCGGTCCTGATACAAAACTCTTAGTAGGGGCCTTGGGAAACGGTGGTTGGGAACAACTTAGGATTCCGCCAAACCAAATTGACAGCCCTAGCTTCAATCCGGTCATTCTAGTTGGTGTTTGAAGCCAGTGGGATTGAAGTTTGTATCCTTTTATGTGGCTTCATTGGGTTCTTCTATTTTATGGGCCTAGTCTGGGCTGTGTCTCTATTTTATTTTGCAGGAGAAGTGGTTTTGGCGAGCTGATGAAGCGTTCTAGATCATTAGGTAGTGGCTGTCTTTTAATAGGCTTTTCGGTTTTGTCCTTTTATTCATAGATTGTATCAGAGCTGCCCATTAGTGGCTACTATGGCTCTTTCATAGACTGATCGATTAGTATCGACTATCGCGTCGGATTTTTTGAGTATTGTAATATCTATTACCAACCTAACTATGCTAACAAAAAAAAAATTATTTCCTGCTTTATTTGGGCGTAGACATATTATTCTTACCGTTGTAGGGCCAATGCTACGAAGCCTACGATGTTGTTGTAAAAGTGTGAGCCCAGTGCCCCTACTAGTTATGACCAAGGGTTGTGACACTCGTAATAGAGGTCATATCAGCAAAGTCAATCTTTTGATATTTTATATTGAAATTGTGATTCAACCGTTTACTTCGTTAAACTCGCTTACTGGTTTAGGCTGACATTCGATATTTTTGTTCTGACAGATCGGTACAATAAGTTTCTAAAATATTGGTTACAATTGGTTCACGAAAAAGTGATGTCACGCTGGTTAGTTTTATTAAATCAGTCCAAATCCAATCAACCACCACTTTCTAACCGTTTAGTGTTTTCTTCCCATTGAATCCATTAAATTTCACTGATTGGGGAACCTGCAGATCCATTTGCAACTCCTTTGGAAATATTGCCGGAATGGTATTTCTTTCCCGTATTTCAAATACTTCGTACAGTACCCAAGAAGTTATTGGGTGTTCTTTTAATGGTTTCGTTTAGTGTTTTCTTCCCATTGAATCCATTAAATTTCACTTAAATTTTAAATGCAACCAGGTGGGTGTGCCGCGCTTGGCAGCGGCAATGCAGTGCGAAACAAAATGTTAGCATGTGAGTATGGTTTGACTATTTATGATTACATACATTTGATTATATACAGAGCTCCAAATTAAAAATTACCCACCTTTAAACACAATTTGAAATAAAAGACAACTTGCTAACAACTACGGTTATTATCACATGGGTGTGAAGTAGCAACTAATAGAAATACTAACAAACTAAACATAATTATCTACAAACATGTATAACCTATATATAGGTCGTTTCTTTCAATATTGTTTTGAGCATTTGCTGGCAGCTCTTTCTTGAAAGCATACTCCAATAGAATTATAGAAACCTCATAAAGTGATAACAATATAACATTTAATTACCCATTATCTATTTATCTGTCTCTCCCGTAGGGCTGGGCATGCGGGCGGATCATCCGCGGGTTTGGGCCGACCCACCCGCATTTGACCCGAATTTCGTTAAGTGGGTGGGTTTGTGGGTGGGTGACGGGTTGCGCTAGGAGCCATCCGCCGGGTGGTGGGTGGGTTGTGGGTGAGTGTGCGGGTGACCCACTCAACCCAACAGCAAAAAGATCAAAGTCGTTGGCGCTAGATAGAGGAGAGTGGAGACGTTAGATATAAACTCGGACTGCTCCTGGAGTTTGAACCTCAAAGCCAACCTTCCAAATAGAGATCCCCTCTTCTTCCCTTTACTTTTTACTCTAATTCTTGTGCCTAGATCACCGCTCTTTCCTTTGTGGAATTATTTTCCTTAGTTCTTTGCAGCTAATAATCGTCTCAATCTGTAGAAAACTCTTTCATAATAGAATTTCTATCCAATTTAAAAACTAATTCGGCATTTTTCGCCCTATTTCAACTACTTGTTTCCCTCGATGATTATCTTCACCTATTATCATATCAAGTTGACTCCTTTATATTATATAAATTGTGATGTGGGTGAACCCACAAACCCACCCGCATCATCCACCATCCGCCCGACCCAACCCGAGACTAAATGTGGGTGGGTGGTGGGTTAAAAATTATCAATCCGTTTAAGCACGGGTGGTGCATTTTATGGTCAAAATCCACGCGACCCACCCCTACTCTCCCGATTACTTCGTCCACCTCAGATCTCCACCAACCTTACCCATTATTTAATCTTATAATGAAAAAACCCAAACTTTATCTCATTCCTTCAACCCATTTTGTTATCACGATGATTCTCACGCATTACCGTAGTTTTAGAGCATCAGCCTCATGAATAAGTAGATTGACAACTACACGTGTGCCAGAAGTGCTAGATCTGTTAACCACTCCTGCAATACGCTTATACATCAAACACAACACAACTTATTACCGCAAAAAATCAAACAGAAAAGAATAGGAAACCAAACCACGGAGTTGAGTCATAATGAGACCACCAAACGCCAACACAACAGAGTCATTAGGATCGCGGTCAACCAAGGTCCGTGCATCAAGTATTAATGAAAATGATCCCCACATCCAAATACATAGAGAAGTCCCGCTGCAGTAAAATAATTATAAAAAACAAAATAAAGTAAGCAAATTAAATAGAGAAACCAAAGAGTTAAAGCGAAGTAGACACCCATAATTAATTAAGAACAGAAGTACATATGATCTTTGATGGTAACTTTCTGAATAGTAGTAATACCTCCTTTGGCCTCTACATATTCAGGTTGACTAATCGAAACCAACCGTCCAACTACATCTGCACCAAAATTGAATTAATTAATAAAGCTATTACATACCAGACCCCCTATGATTTTCAAAACCACATGAAACAGTTGATACCTGTGAGATAAGGACAACAATAAGATCCAGCAGGGAGGGAGTTAAATTCAGTGAACTGAAATGATTTGGTAGTGAAACCAATTGAACTTGCGGTTACATCCTCAAGTTTTGTTGCCGGAGTGATCACCAAATACCGATGGAAGTTGCATGCCCGAAAAGAAGCCTGAGGATCACACATTGCAAACTCTAGAATCACATACACAGAGCCAATGTTGAGACAGCCACTCAAGGCTTCTGCAAACAAACGATGTGAAATCCCCTCAATAAAATTACCCTGCAGGCAGAGCATTGACATCAAATTCCTCTCATAATTAGGATAAAGGCCAAAAATGATCACGACTATAAATGGAATCAGTTTCGGAATGAGACAACACATATCAGAATATAAATTCTCCCAATCATTGATTGATTCGGTGAACTAATATAGTTTGTTTAGAACCCAAAAGAAGTAAAACTTATTCAAAGGACCCGCCGTATTTCCCCAAGAACCCAATAGTAACAATTGCTTATTGGACGAATCCACCGTATTTCCCCACGGCGATCTCTCCTTTTCTCTAACCTTATGTGATCTCTACATGTAGAACATGGACTCAACCTAGGAATACAAAAAGAGACAATATAACAAAACATAACAAAAACTTACCGAGGCATCAACCCAGAGAGTTGAGAACGCAAAGAACTGATCAGGAATGGTAGGATCCCCAGACTTCCACGCATGCAAAAGCCAAAGTTGTAGAACACAATCTCGTGGATCATCAGGAAGAGTAGACAACAGGAAAGAAGCCATGATTAGAAACTCAAGAGTATAATTGAACCAAAGAAGGAGATACAAATAGATGCGATGAAGAAAAACTCCCATGCCGACCACAATTTATAGGCGACCTCAAAACACTACAGAAGCTTAACCTACAAAAAAAAAAAGGGAGAAGAAATCTCACCCGGGTAATCCTCCCGCAACCATTGAACCACTAATTGTAGGCCAGCACGATAGGCAACACATGCTGCTGGTTAATCCTTAAGCTGACACCTGCATAATGAGGAACCCAATCATCGACACCTGTATAATCAAGGCTAACCCCTGTCTAATCACAGGGTTAATTCCCAACCAGAATGAGATCGCAGGTAAATTTCCAAACCTGAATGAGAACTAAATCGCAAAGATAGAAAGAGAGAAACCCTATAATCGACACCTGTATAATCAAGGGTAACCTCTGTCTCATCACATGGGTTAATTCCCAACCAGAATGAGAACTAAATCGCAATGATAGAAAGATAAATCGCAATGATGGAAAGAGAAAGAAGCAGAAATCCCGCTAGAGAAGAAGCAAAACCCCGCAGATGGACAAAGAAGCAGAAAGCAGATAAAAACTTCGATGAAAGAAGGCGAATGATCTCTGCATCTCTGCTGCCCGGCCAAAAAAATTTGAAGGGCCTACTGCAGCCCATAAAATAAATGGTTGTTACTCAAAGCCCAAAAATACAACGAAACCCATTTTGTTAGCTGCTGTGTAGGAATTAGTCGGAAGCCCATTAGTTAGCTGGTGTAGGATTTAGTCGGCTGTAAAGGGAATTTAGGCAACAATAACCTTACTTTAGGTTTATTAATATTAATATCCTTGAGCCTGGCCAGGTGGTAGGAAGACAAACATTTTTATTAAAATAATTCGTTCAATGCTAATGTCATGATACACGTTAAAAATATTATGTATTATGATGGTATATAACTGAACAATTTGTGGTATAGATTACTAACTCTGTAGAGGAGTAACATGCTTGTGAATTGTGGTGGTATATGAAACTATCATGTATTACTGTAATACATAATTTAACGGTATTTTGAAATGATTGTTTTTATAGAAAACCTATATATTTTGATACGATTTAGTAACTTTATAATAGGAATGTGACTTGTAAATACATGACAATTTCCATTTATTTGAAAAATATTATTTCAAGCTATATAAAAATGGATATCAGTGTACTAACTTTGAACACGGTCGTTGGCCGTTGGTTCGATTTAAGTATTTTTTGAAATGGTATATGTCTTAATATGTCTGAAATTATCACTCTCCAACGAATACATGGCACTTATTTTTGTATTTATGCTTCATAAAATATTTGTGATATTTCGTGTATTACATCCAAATTGTAGGTTTGGGTAAGAAAGATTTTGTAGGTTTATGAGAGATTATCTTGTATATAAGTTAATTTTTGAATTAAACATTCGATACTTTTTTAACGATATTTAGCCATGACATTTCTAAGTGAAGATGTTAAATGCTTAATAATAAATATTAACTCTTGGGTAAATCTATAACATGCTAATGTTAAAATTCTTAATATTTGACATATCCTACTCATGATAGTTCATTTATCCAAGCTTGACTCATGCCACATGGAATATTTGCAAAGTTTGTTCTCTTATTGCCTATTGAAATGATGATTTATAAAGTTTCGATGTATGTTTCTATGTGAAGATTCGTGAATCCACACTACAATTATGCTGACGAGTCCATTTTTTATGATGGAAATATTACCACATTCATGGATTGTGTTGAGCCATTTTACAGTGGTGATGAAGACACGCAAGATCAGGTTGTGAATTATGAATTTCAAATGTTCAGTAAAAAAAAGCTTATCCCCAGATACAATGTTCTTCAAAGTTTTATAGTACCCACGCTCCGGGTCTACCAAACTTGACGCAACGATGCCCACTTGCGACCATCGTGGTCTACTAGACTTGACGCCAACGTCGTCTAGCTCTCTAACTTAGTATATTTGTGGCTTTCCTCTCCCACGCAACTTGCCTTCTTACTTCCAATTTGTTAGTTTAGATCTTGGACATGGTCTAGATCTCACGACGTGCTCTAGATCTCGCGACCACCTTGGTCCAGTGGACTGACTCGCACGAAACTACACCGCGAATTAATCCTGACTAGAGCCCAAGTTTTTAAACTCTAACTGGGTGCATTATAGGGCAAGTATTTAATCGTCAAACCCGGGTCGGTCCATATACCCCTACTTCAATCGCTTAGGTTGTTATCTAGGGAAAAGGTTTTGGGTTTAAAAATAAGAAAACTACAAACGAAAACAAGCAAATAAAGTAAATCGAGGTTGTCCCAATGTGAGAAGAGTTCACCCGGGTGTTTCTCGCCCTAGCTAACAATTATGACTTGAAGAATCGAACGACCGTGTGTGGTTAGGGGGTTATAAACCGCTGGGAAGTCTAACAAGTAACCAAGGCCACCCTCTTAGTCTCTAGGTTGAGAAAATGGGATATGATCCAAGCCGCTAATGCGATCCTCTCGACCTATGGACTAAGGAATGGTTAGACTTCACCCTCGAATTGGAGTTTGGACGGCCACCCACAGCCAAACTCTAAGTGCTTATACGAAATAGGAGGTTTGCCCTTAATTAAGCTAGAATAGGAGGCATGAAATGCCCAAGGAAATCCATCTCTAATAGAGCCTCTTAGGCTAAGGAGGGTTCTCTCTAAACTAGTCTAGGAGGCCTTAAATGCCCAAGGAAACCCAGCTCAAATTGAGCCTCTTTGGACAAATGAAGTTTCCTCTCTAAACTAGCATAGGAGGCATGTAATGCCCAAGAACACCCATCTCTAATTGAGCCTCTTAACCTAAGGAGGTCTCCTCTTTAAACTAGGTCAACATAGCACACACAATCACCATGAATAATACCTCCACATTCACATTAACACAACCACACACAAATCATTCTACACATACAAGCATTCACATGTTTCAAACTAGGATTCACAACACCCAAGTGAATAGGCAGGCAAATTCATAGCTAAGCAAAGGAAAACAACAAAAAGGAGAGAAAGAACCATGGAGAGGTGAAAATCTTCCTCCCTTGTTGCTTGAATCTCCCTTGAGATGAAGAAATCTTCTATCATCTACCTTGAATTGAGCCAAAACTCCTTCTTTCTCCTTTGAATGACACTTTATCTCTCTAGAATGGGAAGAGGAAACCCTAATCTCTCACTAGAAACCCTCCTTTATTTTGAAAATTAAAACCCTCTAAAAAGCTCTCCCTCTTCCACCTTTCAGCTCTCCATTTATACTCAAATCGCGCCCAGTTCACGGTCTCAGTTCACGACCGTGAACATCAAAATGCGTCCGTGAACTACTGATAATTGTCGAAAACATATTGATTTTGTGTGCTTAATGTGATTATTTCATGATATGTTTGAAACATATAATGCTTGATTTAGAGCCAATTGACTATGGAATGGTTGCAAAGCCAATACCGCCTTGTGCTAGAATGTTGATATATTTTAGGTGGAGAAACAAGAAACGATTGAATCACAAGTACACAAACAAATCGAACACAGATAAGTCGATAACTGAACCAATTGGAACCGGATTCTTGACATAACCCAATTGGATGAAGGGACAGCGGGGTTTGAGACTAATCAAAGAGAGTACATAAATTTCCATGGGTGCATTTTAATGAACCAAGTCCATTGTCCTTTAGTGGACTAAGAAAAGGTAGAATGTACAAAAGAAGAAGAATTGGAGCTGGGCCGGGAATTAAAAGGAATTAACTTGGAGGTGGACTTATTTTAGAGGCCCAACTGGTTTGTCTCTGATGGAGGAATTGAAGTTGGACAGACCGGGAAAAATTCTTGGACCGGAGGCAGCATATATTTATATTGAACGGGGAACTTGGAGGAGAGCTAGGGTGGAGAGGATTCTTTGGAGGAATTAGAAGGAGGGTTATTCTTGGGAATTAAAGTTCCCATCTGCTTTTTCCTATAGCACAATATATAAACTTGGACGGGGACTGTTGAAATATAACAAGTCATAATTAACTCACTCCTTGATCCAAGACCGTTGCTGATTTGAAAGAGCCTTGCCTCAAAAGGAAAGCGCTTGATTGTGGTAATTAGACGAGATCGTCTCCAACGGTTAGTCACTCCTAGCTATTTATACCAATCGACATAAGCGTTTCTGGATACTTTTGTGGAGAAGAAGCTTCGTGGTATAGGATTAAGCTTAGCAAAAGGGTATCACTAGAGGGGTAGAGGATCTCTAGTGTTGTGGCTGAATCTGATCATGCTGTGATCTGGATGTTCGAGTTTATTTTCTTGCTTTCAAGTCTTCTTTATCATTGTGTATTATTTGTGCTTTTGAGTCAAAAACAGAAAATCAACAAAGGGTCTCCCAGACTGTATTCTGGGACGTGGAAGTACATTGCACTTGGGCGAGCCACGTTAAAAACGTCATGTGTTCTGCATTTTTCTTTTTGCTCTGTCTCTTCTGTGTTCTTCTTTCCCTGTCTTTCTTAAATTGATCGGGAGACTGTCTGTGTAAAGCCGAGAAGCAAGACTGGACTGAAAGCCGGTCTTATATCTGGTCGATCTTTTTCCTCAGTTTGTTGGACTTTTATTAGTTGGGCCTATTTATTTTTTTGGCCCATTTTCAAAGGGCATTTGTTGACTGATACAACGATCTGAAGACGACTGTTGAGTCTTCTTTTTCCTATCCCATTTCGATGATTTCAATGATTTCATCGGTTTCCTTTTCTTTGTGTTAGTCAAAATCCCTAAAATCTCTTCTATCTCCTATTTCAAGTGGTATCAGAGCCTTTCCTTGACGAAGCTCACTGCTGCCAAGGTATTCGATTCAATGGCGTCTGGGTCATTCGGGCAAGCTACTCTAAATCAGCCGCCCATTTTAACCGGATCGAATTACACTGTCTGGAAAAAGCGGATGAAGCAATTCATGTGTGGAGTGGATGAAGAGCTTTGGCTGATTTTCCAAAATGGACCTATTCAAATGAATGTCAATGAGCAAGAAATGTGGCCAGCAGCTCAAAAGGTGAGCGCCCAGTTAAATCAAAGGGCAATGCATGTTCTACAGTCTGCAATGAATCCAGATGAAGCAGATCAAGTCGAGAATTGTAAGACGGCGAAAGAAATCTGGATTGCACTGGAAAGCACATATGAAGGTACTTCTAACATTAAATAATCTCGTATTGATATCCTAATGCATGATTATGAAACTTTTAACGTGCTAGATGGTGAAGGAATACATGAAATGTACTCTCGTTTCACTGTTCTTATAAATAAATTAAAGGGATTAGGGAAGACTTTTCAGGTTAAGGATCTAAATCGAAAAGTTCTTAGATCATTGCCTAAAGAATGGTTGCCAAAACGTACTGCTATTGAGGAAGCAAAAAAATTGGCAACCCTACCTATTAATGAACTAATAGGACCATTACTTAGCCATGAACATGCTATTAGACAAGTCGGGCAAGAAGATGAAAAACGTAAAAAGAACTTAGCTTTTAAATCCAAAGCTGTTAACTATGATACTGATAGTGAGAATGACTTTTGTAAGGA